TTCATAAATTCAGATTTCCCTCAAGTACCTGGAAATCTTGATAAAGAAGACATACTATACATACTATAAAGAATGATAAAAATAGATGGTAATAAGGTAGAGGGACAGGGTGGGAGAAGAAAGCTCCCTAGTTTATGCAACAGGCTATTTCAGCTCTGTTATTAACTAGTATGTGATTTTCGAAATATGAAATTAGTCATTTTAGGTGTATACAAATACTGAAAGAATATAAATACTGAAAGTAGTTGGGGTTTATATTAAATGTTTTTTATTGTTTTGTTTTTTTGAGACAGAGTCTTGCTCTGTCACCCAGGCTGGAGTGCAGTGGCGCAATCTTGGCTCATTGCAAGCTCTGGCTCCTGGGTTCACGCCATTCTCCTGCCTCAGCCTTCCGAGTAGCTAGGACTACAGGCACTCGCCACCATACCCCGCTAATTTTGTTTTTGTATTTTTAGTAGGGACTGAGTTTCACCGTGTTAGCCAGGATGGTCTCGATCTCCTGACCTCGTGATCTGCCCACCTCCGCCTCCCAAAGTGCTGGGATTACAGGCGTCAGCCACCGTGCCCAGCCTATATTAAATGATTTCTAATGTCCTCTCTCCCACTATGTTCATGAAGTACCTTACTACTAACTTAACTGTATTATTCCCATCATCCAGTCCACCAAATCTACAACCATACCCATTGCTTCTTTCTGTAAACGTAAAACCATTTCTTCAATTTCATCTTTTGACTCTTCTTTAGGAGGAAGAATGCCAAAATCTCTTAAAATGTCATTCCATTCTGTATCTTCATTGGGATCCTACACAAAAAGGAAAGAAAAGAAAATTAACATGGTTGTACACTTTAATATGTATTTGGAAAATTCATTGACATGTAGCACTTAAGTGTTCAATTGTTCATGAGCTCTACAGTTAATTGGTTTTGGAGAATAAAGCAAAGTGACCTACTTTCTCCTACTTTCCAGCACTAATGGGATTATGTGCTCCATTGAAAACTTTAATAAAGTATCAATTTAGAATACATATATAGAATATTAAGGAAGTATCTCCTAAGTCATGGAAAATTTGCTGAAGACTGCATTGGGCAAAACCAATTCACATCATACACAAATACAGTTTGGTTTCCTTTTCTACGTAAGCATTCGAGACCATCAGATGAACTTCCTTTTTTTTTTTTTTTTTTTGAGACAGACTTGCTCTGTCACCCAAGCTGGAATGCAGTGGCATGATCTTGGCTGAGGCAGGAGAATCACTTGAACCCAGGTGGG